AAAACCCGTCAAGGATCTACGGACGGGAGCGGCCGCGCCGGCCCTGCCCGCCGGCCAGCGCCTCCGCCGGCCGGGTCCCGCCCGCCACCGCTCGCCTCAGGGCGGCGACCTTCGCCGTGTCCCTGCCCGCCCACGGCCCTGCCTGTCCCCCTGACCAGGGGGGGCCCGGGCCGGGGTCCCGGCTGAGGTGCTGGCACCCCCTGCTCCCCCCCCCTTTCCTCGTGCAGGGTCCCGGCTGAGGTGCCGGCACCCCCTTCTCCCCCCCCGCTTTCCTCGTGCAGGGTCCCGGCTGAGGTGCCGGCACCCCCTTCTCCCCCCCCGCTTTCCTCGTGCAGGGTCCCGGCTGAGGTGCCGGCACCCCCTTCTCCCCCCCCGCTTTCCTCGTGCAGGGTCCCGGCTGAGGTGCCGGCACCCCCTTCTCCCCCCCCGCTTTCCTCGTGCAGGGTCCCGGCTGAGGTGCCGGCACCCCCTTCTCCCCCCCCGCTTTCCTCGTGCAGGGTCCCGGCTGAGGTGCCGGCACCCCCTTCTCCCCCCCCGCTTTCCTCGTGCAGGGTCCCGGCTGAGGTGATTTCCCGCCCCCCCGGCCTGGCTGAGGTACCACAGGCCGCCATGGTGCCACTTTCCGCCCCAGTCCTGGGCAACCCGAACGGCTCTATTCTAGCCAAGGGTTCCTGGAATGCCAAGCGGGCTGTCTAAGGGCTCATCCCTTCGCCTCCTTCTCCTCCTCCCTTGGGCAAACCCATTAAGTACACCACAATGGTGCACCAGGCCAAGCGCTTTAGAACGCCAAGGGGACTGAGGAGCCTACGCTCCACTCAACATGTAAAACTGGCTGTCACGTAAAGGCTGGGGCTCATATTTATAAGTCACCTCGGCGGGTCTTTGAAAAAAAAATGCCACCATCGGCAAAAATCTGTGACTCCATTCGCCAGCCGCAAACTGGGGACACTCTTGTGCTGCTTCTCCCCTATATTCTGTCTCCTCTATTCAGTTATCGGCTCTGCACATGGATGGTATTTCTTACCCTGTCGTTGTAGGCTGCCCGCCAGGTTAGGGCTCCAGCTTTGCTTGGGACCTTTAAATAATAGTGTAATACAAATCATTAAAAATGCTATTTTTAAAGAAAATCTGGATAGCACAAAAGTATTACATAAAGTGAGAGTTAAACTGTTAAAATATGTGCCAGGGAATGTACTAGTTCATCCCATTTAATTCAGATTGTTTAAAGAAAACCCAGTCTACTTAAAGTCACTAAGTTGTCAGTACTTCTAAAATCTTTTGTTTTGGTCAACCTCAATGAGAAGAAGGACTAGGGAATGCCGGGGCTCAATAACTCTGAAGGCAGCATTAGTAATATTAGCTAGTGTGAATTTTGGGGAGCAGCTCTCTTGTTCCTGCAGAACCAAGAATTTTTGGTTACTCTTTTGCCAATTAAACCTGTAGAGGTTTTGGGGCCTGCTGTATGTTCTTCCATGGTTATAATGTTGGCTTTAGCTGAAGTCTGCTGTTAGCTGTAATCCTTTCATAAATGTTCACAAGAACTTCCACATTTCTGGATGTCTGGAATGGATGATATAAATATATCATGTTTGCAAAGCCATGCTCTTTTGCTGTGATCTCACTGGCTCACCCTTGCTCAAACAGGGGAAAATTTTTAGTTAGTACTTGCAGGAGAATTTTGAAAAGCATCCCTGTTCATACATCTGCAAGTGTTTGTTTTTAGACAGCTGTGATATCCTTGAATGACTTGTGAACGAGAAGGTGCCATCTGGTCCATCTACATCTCAAAAAAAGTCTCTCACTGACATCATATGCTGTTTGGGGAGGGGTGGTCTTACCATTATCAAGGTTGAAGCAGAACCTTGCTTCTTCCAAGTAAGGGGTGTCACTCTTAGACCGGAGTCTTCTGATGGGTCTCCGGTCTACGTCATCCTCAGAAGAAGTGGCTGTCACCAGAGTGGGCACGGTGAGAAGAGTGGCCCGACGAGCTGGTAAGAAAGAACAAATGAAAACAAGAATAGCAGGAGAAAGGAGAAATGGAAAGGGGGAGAAAGAGGAGAAAGAAAAGAAAAAGAGAAGAAAAGAGAAAGAAAATCACTCAGTGGAAAATGGGATCCGTAGCAGGTAGTAGAGGCTGTTTGCTGTAAGGTCCCTGCCTCACGTGCTGCAGAATTGAAGGGCTGCAGTGGATGATGACAAGAAGAGAAAAGATTGCTGCGTTGTGTGCCCCAAAGACACAGGTTATAGCTCTCTTCCTGCCACAGCTTGCTTGTTCAAAGTTCCTAGTTTTGCAACTTAAACTGCTGTTTTACAGTTTCTCAATAGCTGCAGTCTCTCTTTTTCTGAATGCTGTTTTTGAGGCTGTGATGCCAGAGTAATGGAAGCATTTAAGTGTTCGCTTACTTTGCAGAAATCGGTGGAAGCTGCGCTTGGGACACATAACGTGATGCCTACAGCAGCTATTCCGGAACTCAGTCTCTTGTTCTTTTGATTTGGGCACTCAAAATTAGCAGCTACTTTTAGCTCTTGATCACTTTATGTCTTAGTTTCTTTGTTGTGAAACGGAGAAAATCATCATTTTCTTTCTGGAGGGATGTCGTGAAGATACAAATTCGTTAATATTTGTAAAGTATTCATATACTTTAGTGAAGCACTGATGAAAAACCCATGAAGAAATTAAGATTTCTGTCTTCTGAACAGGGTTTAAATGGCTTGGGGACATGCCTTCAAGGAGAAGAAAGCAAAATATTTAATACTGGCTCATTAAGTGAGCACTGCCCACTCCATGCACTGATGAAGCAAACGGCTGGATAGTAAAAAATTACCATGTCATTGTGCAATTAGAAACTGTACTATAATACATATGTATAAGGAGACTGAATTAATGTGGCAGAGGCAACCTTCATTGTGGCATTGCCTAAGTATTTAGCACTTGACCTTACAGCCTAGATAATGTCCCTTTAACGTAGGTGGGTTTTATGTGTAATGTAATTATGAGTGGCTGTTGAATGCTTTGGATGCTGAGCCTATAAATTACAAATCACAAACAGAAGAGCCTCTATAAATATATCCACCTCAATTCTGTCTCTGAGTAGATAAAGATTATCACAAATGCTAGATGGGATCTGGCTGATCGCTGTAAGCATGAGCACCATGCACAACTACCTCCTCAGTGTCTTTCTTTCCCCTCCACCTCATATGTAGCCAGAAAGAGAATTTCAGAGCTTAAAAGCCCATCCTTACCCTTACTGAGGGACTATTAATGTTAACTTCCATGTGGGACCCTGTAAGAGCCTAAGCCGTGGATGTTTCTTGCCATTTGGGCATTATCTGGCATAACAGTCTTTATTTTAGGGCTTCTGCAAGTCACCACACTTCAAATAACTAATAATGAACTATATTTTCCTGCCGGGACCGGAGAGCATGACTGAGAATGACTAAGAGCGTATTCTGCAGCCTGCTAAGTGTGTGATTCTTTTAAAAGTTTATTAGAGTTCCAAGTAATACCTGTCAATCAGAAGCCTTCAGATGCCTAAAACCTGACTTAGGTGTTAGATATGATAGCATATAATTAGTATGAGTTAACAAAGCTGTCACGCTCTATTTTTCAATTTGCAGCATTATTGTAGTTTACTAAACAAGTATATCTGCACTGCTGCAGGTAGCGGTTATTTCTGGTCTAACTTACTTGTTTTCTGGTTTTAAATAGATTTCTTTCAAGTTTTTGCTCATTTCCAACCTAGCATTTGGATTTGAAGTAAGAGCTAAGGGCAAGAGTTGAAATTGATTTAATGGGGTCAACTATTTAGATTAAGCTAAAGTAAACACTGTGACTAGACTGTTATTCCCTTGTAATAGGGATGTAAACTAATGAAGATAAAAGAGAATGGAAAATTTCTGCTATGGAGAATTTTGTGCACTGCATCATCAAAATTACACTTAAGGAAGATTTATCTGCATATGAAGTCAGCATTGTAAAAATCATCTCATAAAACAACCGTGTAAAAGATTTGTCTTTTAAAACTGGCATGATCTAGCTGTAGTTAAAGTCGGTGAAAGGGCACCCATTCATTTCAGGGCTGGATGGATCACAGCACAGGAATCTATTTCAAAAAAAAAACCACCACCAAACTGCATATACATTTATGGTAAACAGAGAATAAGAGGGAGCTTTTCTATATAATTGTTTATAAATCATTTTTACCTTTTGGGTCAAAATATTGGGATCTGTCTTGTATTCATTTTGACTAGAGGTAGGTGGATGCTGGAAAATGTTTCCTGGAGCAATCATTATATATTACTTTGACAACCATGATTATCTCCCCTTTGTGCCTATTACCAAAAGGAGTTTTCAAGAGTGACTGAAAATTTTAAGTAAACATTGGAAAAATTTCAGAGGAACATAATAAACATTAAAAAGTTTTGTAATAAAAACCTAGGACGAATTCTTTTACAGTTACAGAGCTAGAAAGTATAGCTGATCACATTCTGATATCTATACTATGATGCTGAATATTTATGCATGCCATGCATATACCTGTATGCACTCTTTTCCTCACTAATCCGTAGCACTCCTTATTATGAGAATGACTTGCCATATATTTTTTTACTAAAGCCATCAACTTGAAAGCTGCCCAATGTGCCCATGGGGTCCATCACAGATAGCCTACCAGTATCTCTAGCTTCAGCTGTTCTCCACAAACCAGCTCAGTCTCTGGGACACATTTTTAGGAGATAGTTTTTCAGGAAAACTAGAAAGTGTCCTCTTGCTGGTCTTGGATTAAATGAATGACATTACGATACGCATTATGGGGCATACATCCACTGCAAACGGATTTGAGACCAGTGTCCAAAAACTCATTTTAAGGAGCCTCTCTAACAGCACATAGACAGCAAATCAGTCATTTTGGTTGAATTCTTTCATTCTGTTTGCATCGCTCCGTATAGGGTTACACCATGATTGGCACATTGCGGCAACATCTTGTCTGGCATTTCTTAGAAAGGGAAAAGGTTGCTTATGGAGGAATAATACTTTAAAAATAGAAATGCCTTAATGTATGTAATGACACCTTAAAACTGATTATATATAATCTCACGTCTGTTGTCTCAAAATATTGTATGTTACTGAAGTACGACACAAGTATGCATTTGGGAGAAGGGAATGTGAAATACATAAATGATTATATTGCATGTTTAGAGGCATTTTGAACATATAATTTCAATATATTTAGTTACATCTACAGGTGGTCCAATTTTTGAATGCTGTTTGAAATTACTGAAAACATGGGGGACAGTTTGCAAAGCATTTTTGATGGCTTCTATTTTTTCCATTAAAATACATTTCTACATATTTTAATTAAAATAGTAGTACTAATTTTTGTTTGCCAAGAATTAGCTTTATATTTTGAAAAGCTGTAATATTGATTTTCTAAAGACACATTTTTTAGAAAAATTTCGGACATTTTAAATTGGAAAACTTTCAGAGGTGAAAAGCCATCATCCAAAAAATCAGTCAGAGAAAATGTGAAATATTCATCTGGATTTTTCCATCCACTTTTACCAATCAACTTTTATTAAAATGTTTTAAAAATATCTTTAGGTGACACAAATAACCCTGGTCATTTGTGGCTCAACAGGTTCTTCATCTAGCAACCTTAATTTGCATAGAAGATTCTTACCTCAAAATGGCAAAAACTTTTAAGACCTGAAGATTTTAGTCTTAGCACAAGCAAAGTGCTAAAATGTTTCCACTGGAGCTGTCTAGATCTAGATGCATTGAAAAGGGTATGTTTCTGGTCCATAACCAACTTCAGAGGACATGGAAATCGCCGTAAAGGAATACTGGTTTACATCAAAAATCTTTAAGACTTTTTTGAGGAAAACCTAATTTCTCAGGGTAAATTTTGAACAATTTAGTAGAATATCTATGAAAACATTTTCATTGCAGTGCTGCTATTGCTGCTTGAGTATGATTTTTTCTTCCCTTTTTTTTTTTTGTTAGAGAAGCGTATGAGCTTCTTATTCAGTTCTCCTTCATGCTTCTGTGGAAAGAGCTCACAGTGGCATAACATGTAGATAACGCACACAGAAATGTGGTTTTGGCTAAATGTAAGCTTTAAAAACATTAGTTCAGGTACATTTCGATGCACCTAGAACATGATATTCCATCTGGGCTAAAAAAAAATAACTATGAGATTGTGAATATTGTTTTTTAAAAGTCAGACCAGACAATGGGTCCAAATGGATGTTTACCAGGGAAAAAATATTTTGGTCTGATTTAATGCCACTTCACTTTTGTCTTGTTTTAAATGCAACTGATAAAGAATAACATTTGGAGGATTAGAGACGGGAAATGGTGTATGACTGGCAGGAGAAGAGAGTAGAAGATGTGTGCAAGTACTGGAGAGAACATAATTTGTCATTTATGAAGAATGATTTATAGTCTTGTGTCTCCTGGATAAAATCAGAAGCACATGGATATGGATTGTTGCGTGTCTCTAAAGCAAAGGCGTTGAGACCTTTGACACCGGTTTGATGGACATCGGTGATCTGAAAGAATTTACTTAGATATGTAGTACTCAAACACAGGCCTGAGTGTTGCAAACAATAGTAGATAATTGAAAGGACATCCACTTTTACGCACGTGCTCATTATGCTGGTTTGTGATAGTTGGGTAAACGTACACACAATATGCCTAACTGACATTTTTTGTATGTTTCAGGGGAAACATGCTTGTTCCTCTGCTGTTGAGTCCAAAGGCATGGGCTTCAGAAAACAGACTATTAAAACTAACTAAATAAATAGAGAAATTATTATGAAATAGGGGCAAGTGGATGCTTGGATATTTAAAATTAATTTGTAATAGAAAAAAAATTAGATTTCGTTTTCAGAATAAAATGTTTTCAAATGTGATCCATGCATAGGTTTTCTAATTTTTTCTTTATATAGAGGTATAGAGAACTGGATCTCAAGCATCCTAGTTCATTGA